GAGGAGAGAAAACAAAAGGAAAAAGGAAAAGAGAGAAAGTAAAGATAAGGAAGTGGAAACAGAGCTGCCCAGAGGGTGTCCTGTAGGTCCCAGGTGTGTCTCGTGCCCTGTGTGTGTGCATGTGTGTGTATGTGGGTGTGTGCTTGTGTGTGTGTGTGTGTGTGTGTGTGTATCCTCGTTGGATTTACCTGTGGTTTAACTACAGAAACACACAGGTGTGAATGTGACAGTGTTAGGTTAAGTTTGACTTTTCCAGGTTTTGAGGAGTTTTGTTAGAGGAGAGAATGTGCTGTGAGTCCCGTGACCCAGCACACAGGGCTCTGATGTCCACCCATACCCCTGACTTCTCTCGTGGTCACTGCCCCATGATGCTGTCCTTGGGTCTCTCGGCCCTGTCATGGACCAAGCCAAGGCCTTTGGAGAGCCAGGCCTGTGCCTGTGCAGACAGCAAGGGGACCCCAGACGCCAGGTCCCTGTGTGTTGTCAGCCCTCCCAGCACCAGCTCCGTCGTGTTTGTGCCTTTCCTTTGCTCTTAGGGGGAGTGAAACCCATGTCCATGTATGGTGGCAACACAGAGTTTAACATACATTTCTTGGAAACAGCACATAATTTTCCTGTTTCTCGGCTTCATGTGGTAGACTCAGCCTGTGTGTCTGGCCGGCCACTCCCATGGTCCTGAGACCATGCTACCTGCCCGTGTGGTGGTCCTTTGGGAATGGCTGCAGGTCCCCATTCTTTCTCAGTGGCCTCGACTATCTCCAGGTGCTGCTGGGTTTGGTCTCTGTGTTGGCCTGGGGCTCAGCCCACCACACAACAAACCCTGCTTCTATCCCTGTCCCCTCCAGAAACCTCTTCCCCTCCCCACTCCCATCCCATCCTCTCTGCAGCTCCACTTACTGGCTGGAAGGCTCCCCTGTCCCTCTGGCTTCTGTTGTCCTCCTGATCACTTGGTCAGTGGCCAGGCCTCCATGGAAACCCCCTAATTTATTTCCTCTGCACTGTTGTGTCTGAACCCATAGCTTAATGGTCTTCCTCCCTGCTCTTCCTGACCCCAAGAGGACAGGTATGTGTCTGCCATGTTCCCAGCCCAACAGCCATGACTGATACATGGCCGCTGCTCAGCAGGTCTGACAGAGCAAGTAGAAGGGGGCAGGCTTTGAAAGCCAACACTTGGAAATGGGGTGAGACCAGCAGCCATCATGCCCATGGCGATGTCTCTTCCTGGAGTAATGGCCCCCAAAGCAGAGGCCTGGCTCCCTACCAGGTCTGGTCTGACCACTCAGTCAGAGCCCCTTGGAGCCCCCGCATCTAAAGTGATGGCCAGGTCAGCATGAGTTACAGAAGGAATCCCAGGAGAACTGTCGATTCATGGGTAGATTCTACCATGACCTTATCGGTTCCCTTCTTATGAAAGTCGTGTTTAGTTTTTAAAGTTGTAGAAAAATTTTTGAAATCAAAATAGTTCTAAGGAAATAGGGACATACCCATCATGGACAGCTTGGAGTGACAGTGTTTTATGCATATGGTGATGTCCTGTCCTAGATTAGTTCTGCTGGCTTCAGCTGCCATTGCCATCCAGTTCTGCCCCAAGGCATTCACACTGCCAACTACAGGAGGGGCAGAGTTCCCGAGATGGATAGTGATGTTCCTTATCATTTCGTTTGCTGAGTTCTCACTATGTAGATGCTTCATCCCTGCACATGTACCTTGCTTGGGAGGTTCTGTGACCATCTCAGGCTCACAGACTAGATGGGGTGCTGGAGGGTATAGGTGGGTGTGGGGGTCAATTTGGATGCTGAGTTGTTGCCTATATGGCTGCTGTCAGTTAATGCAAGGCTGAGGATTTGTACTGACTGGGGCAGCTCAAGTGTCCCGTAGTGACAAGGCAGATGGCACATCCCCCAGCCCCAGGAGCTCAAGGTGCAGCCCTACTGGAGAAGGCCAAAGGGAGGTAGGAGGGTTGGCTTCTGCCTCCTGGGGATCTGAGAGTGTCCCCACAGCCTCACAGCCCCCCATATCAGCTTCCTGCAGGGAGGGCCTGAGCCTGCTGGAATGTGCCCCTTGCCTTGCCATGTGGCCATGCAGGACATTTTGACAGTGACTCTGCAAGACACAAACTCTAAGGGCAGGAGGTCCCCTCCTTGGAGACTGGTGTGTATGGCTGGCAACATTCCAGCCCAGCATGGTCGTGCAGTAGGAGATCAGCACACCTCCATGGGACGATGACTGTCCAGAGCACGTCAGTGTGAGAGGCTGGCTGGTGGCCCCACAGAAGGCACAGGGTGCTGGAGGCTGGCAGCACCCAGTGCTCAGACTCTGCCAAGAACCAGCGTTCCTGCAGCTGACTGATGGGAGAGGAGGCTGGGCACCTGCTGGGCCATGCAGGAATGAGCACAGCACGGGGTGAGCAGTGTGTCCTGCAGAGGGGCGTTGGGAGGGACTGCGATGGATATAACTATCACTGAGCTTGGTGCATCAGGGGCAGGCTGGCCTTGCCTCAAGCCCGTGGCAGCTGGGGCTACATCAGGCCATGTGATCAGTGGCAGGACAGTGACCACATAGGAGAATGGTCAGCATAGCCGGCCTAGGGGTGTTTCGTCCAAGCCCACTTTTGCCTCTTCCTGTTCCCCAGAACCTCTGTCCTCAGCTTCCTCCCCAGCAGGCTGAGGGGTAAATCCAATCACTTTGGTCCCATCTCCTCTCTTAGCAACTGGTCAGGGTGAGTAAAAGGTCTGCTGTGGCGAGGACATATCTGGGAGCTTCTGGAAGACTTTCACATTGGAGAGAAGGAAGAAGTGGGCTTTCTTCCTGCTAATGGTGTAGGGATGGCATGTAATGACTCCTGGAACTCTGGCAGCCTCTGTGCTACCATGAGGCACCTGATTAAGGGCTTAGCACCCTGCTGAGGTTCCAGTGCAGGAGGGAGGACAGTCCCAGTCTGCTGTGTTGGCCCACTCTGAAGCCTTCCTGCCTATCTTCCCTTGCCCTTATTAACCTTTAGCAGTCTCAAGTTTGGTTTTCTGTGTCTGCATTTAAAAGCATCTGATCATTGTTCTCAGCTGTTGTTTTACCAAGCGATTCTATAAACCAGAAGCTTCTGGTTCCTGGGAAACAATCCCAACTGTAACTCAGAAAATTGTTAAAAATGGTGTGAAAGGTACAAACTTGCATATGGAACAGGAAAGATGAATGTGGAAGACAGCTGGGTCAGGGCCATGGGGCTTCAAGACCAGTCGTCCTTGTACCCAGGGCCTGATCTGTCCCTGGTCCAAATAATCTCTCCATGGTTTAAGGCATTCAGTTCTTGGAGCAGCGGGAAGCCCTAGCCCGGGCTGCCTACTGCAGTCCGGACCTGGGAGGAGCAGGCTGAGGTTGCCCCCATACAGCCAAGATCCCACCCTGTGCCCAGCACCTGGCCAACCAGGGCCAGAGCGGCTGGGGCAGGCAGAGCTGTGCTGGGGGCTGGGGTGAGGGCATGCTTCCTGCCTCCCTGCCTTCCTGGTGGGCGCTCCATGGGGTGGTCTGATGTTTACATGTCACCCTCCATCCATCAGCTGGATTCATAAACACACAGAGGCCCAGAGCCCAGTGGCCCCCAGCCGGAGGGGCCCAGGCAGGGAATCCAGCTTGCTGGGGCTGCCAGTGGGTGCCTGGGGATTCCAGGCACGGTGGGCACCATGGGCCCTGACCCGTCTCTTCCAGACCGTGGAGGGGTGGGAGTTACTCATTAAGCGACACAGCCAGCCAACTGGATGGGGTGAGCTGGGGTGAGCTGAACCCACCTTGAAATGAGATGCTGTTCACGCCAACTCACTCAGAGGGCCCCAGCAGCTGGGCCGTCCAGGTGGAGAGGTGGCCCTGGGGACCTGAGGGCCAGTGGCAGGAGCCTCTGTCTCCCCAGCTGTAAAGCGTGATGCAGGGCAGGTTAGAGTGTGTGAGAGGCTCAGGGAGGGATCCGAGCAACCCTCACTGGGCTGGCCATGCTGTTGGCCAGGCTTAGTGTTAAAAGCCGCTGTTCCCATGGGATAGCATGGAAAGCTTGTCTTTTCTTTTTCGGTGGTCCCGGGAGCTGAACGTGGGGCCTTTGCTTTGCGCTACATCCTCAGCCCTTTTAAAATTTTTTATTTTGAGACAGGATCTGCCTAAGTCACTCAGTTGCCCAGACTGGACTCAGACTTGCAGTCCTCCAGCCTCAGCTTCTCAGGGCACTGGTATTATAGGCATGAGTCATCATGCTGGCTAGAAATCCCTCTGAACCTTCCACAGAGCCTTACGGGCTGCAGATGAGGAAACTCTCCTGACACAAATGGCTTTCCAAAGTGACCAGCAGCCAGGTGGGTCTGGGGCCAGAGCTCAGGCCAGATTCCAGGACAGGCCTTGCTCCCAACCCAGCCAAAGGGCACATGGAGGCTGGGAGACTTGGCTGCCCTGCCGCCCTTGCTGCCCTGCCGCCCTTGCTGCCCTCACTGAGCCTGTGATGTATGCTGCATCCCGTGGGGCCTGTGGCATTCTGCCCACAGCCTCTGTGTTAATCATTGAGCTGGTGGTGTCTGCAGACCCTGCTCCCTTGCTCCAGGGTGAGGAGGGGCCACCTTGCTGGTGGGTGTATGACCCTGAGACCACGTCCTCCCTGCCTACAGCTCCCTGTCCTTGAGCTTCCACCCAAGGTCGGCTTTAACCAAGCACTGGTCCTGGGGACCATCCTGGGGTTCACCAGCCACCTCAGGAAGGGAAGGGAAGATGGGGTGCCTTAGGACTGTTGCTTGGGGGGAGGGGCTGTCATGCATTTCCATGGAAACAGGACTCGGGCTGGTCTCTGGGCAGGTGCGTAGACCTCGTGTCACTCAGATCTGTGTCCAGTGTCTAGGAGGAGGTGTAGGGGGCAAGAGGAGTGAAGTGTTGGAGTCACACAGTAAAAAGGAGCCCGGCAGGGGTGAGCCCTCTACAGGTGACCTCAGTATGAGCCCCCACAGGCGACACTCACTCCCTTCCTCCTGCAGGGCACTGCCTCGGTCCTCCAGCGCCGATCCCCCAACGAGGAGTATGTGGAGGTGGGCCGGCTGGGGCCATCTGACTACTTTGGTGAGTTGGGTCCCTCTCTCTCTTTGGGGTCCTGGATGAGCAGCTACACAGAAGCTCCCTGAAGGCCTGGGGTAGGCTCCAGGGGATTGGGCTGAGCTACGAAGCAGTTATGACAGGGGCCTCAGCCTATGTCACCTCACATGGAAGTCCAGGGCCTGGGACCCCAGGATCAGCTGGTCCCACCTGTGGCTGCTGAGAGGGCATGACCTTGGGGAGGCCCGGCTCAGGGGAGGGAGGGACATAGGGGTCACCCACTGGCAGCATTCCTATAGCCTGGGGGAGGTCCTGAGCACACCTGGGCTAGTGCTTGCTGTTCCTATGGCTGGAGGACAGTGCCTAGCTGAATCTGAATTTCAGATAATCATGCATGCTTTGACAGTTTATATAAATACATATCAAATATTTGACTGGACATACTTAACACTAAAAATTTTTTGTGTACGGTATTTGAAATTCAAATTTGCCTGGTGCCCATGGTGGTATTGGCCCTTAGGTAAGTGGGTTCTGAGAGCCCTGACCATGCTCTCTTCATCCTCAGGGGAGATTGCTCTGCTGCTGAACCGGCCTCGGGCAGCCACCGTGGTGGCCCGGGGACCCCTCAAGTGTGTCAAGCTGGACCGGCCACGCTTCGAGCGTGTGCTGGGGCCCTGCTCTGAGATCCTCAAGAGAAACATTCAGCGCTATAACAGCTTCATCTCCCTCACTGTCTGAGCCGCCGTCGCCTGCCATGTGTCTGGGCTGGGAGTCTCAAGAGGTGGCTGGTGGGGCTGGTGACCCAGCATGGACTCCCTTTCCTCTGGACTCTTTGTGGAATATGTAATCAACTTGTGCATTTCAAAAACAAAGGGCAAGAAAACAAGATATCCCAAGACCAAGGAGGCAACAGGCCAGCTTCCCTCCCCAGTGCCCTTCTTGTTTGCCCCAAGGGTTTGTCTGGAACCACCCCAGCCCCTTCAAGTCTTCAGGGGATCTATGGTATCAGGTTCTCCAGGCTTAGGCCCTTTGTGGGACAGATCTCATCAGATGGGATGTCCCCAAAAGGACATTCAGGTTGGAGGCAAAGATGGAGGCTGAGAAAAAGAGGGTCCAGGCCTTCCCCCTCCTCCCACAGGCCCCAGGGGACACTGGTTGGATCCCTGGCTCCTGACATGGTGACCTGGGCATGAAAGGTTGGAGGAGCTATCCTGGGCAGAGATTGTAAAGGCCACCCCGGGTGGGCCACACACTGCCTGGCACCTGGGGCAGTTGGCAGAGTCTGAGTACCCTCACTGGAATGGGTAGGAAGCCACTAAGTTTGGGACTTTACAATGCCTGGTGAGTGCTGCACTGGGGTCCCTTTTCTTGGGGTCAGGGTTCTTCTCTGCCAAGTGGCCTTTTGGGGACCTGGAGGGAGAGTTAGGCTTTCTGAGAATTCTGGATAAAGCTATAGGAATCAAGGTCCCTTCTGAGTGGTCCCCATAGATATGCCTGCGTCAACCTGAGCCCCAGCCCAGGAAGACCACGTGTTCCTTACCTGGCCTCCATACCTGGGACGTGAGGGAAAATGTAAGGGAAGCCAGTCCTGGCCCACCCCAAAGCATCCACAGACCTGTCCCCTAGCTGTGTCTCATTCCCACGATGGCACAGAGACTGAGAGCCCAAGGGGCCCTCCCATCCTGTCCTTGCTGTGGCTAAGGAGACCACCCTGCCAGTGACCAGCCCCCGCCCTTGCCCGTCCCGCCTGCGCCCGTGGACTCTGTGGTTGTGCACTGCCCCCGGCCGCTCCTGGTGTGCATGAGCTAATAAATGTGCAGTGAAGAACTGCTCCCTGGCCTGGAGCTCTTGGTCTGAAATCTTTCCTAAAGAGGGTTTTCTTTCCTTTTTTTTTTTTTATTGTGGTAAAATGCACATAACACAAAATTTATCATTTTAGCTACTCTTAAATGTAAAGCTCAGGGACATTGTCTGCGTCACCACGGCCATCACAGATGGAAACCTCTCCCTGCAGAACACTGGCTCCTCATGCCTGCTCCAGCCCCTGTCCGCCCTGTGGCCACCCTGCAGACCAGGTAGGAGGCCATGCTGTTGTTCATGGAAGGGACAGAAGGGGAAACTGTGGCGCTCAGGGGAAGAGGTTTGCTCAGGGCCATCAGAGAGGGGTGCAGCTTGGGCCCCCTGGCTGGCTGGGGCCATTGGTCGGATCTCTGTAGGTGAGGCGAGGAGACTGGGACTTGGCCTGGGCACACTGCCTGCCTCCTTGCTACTCTGGCCTTTGCTCCTGGCTGGCCAGGGGACCAAGGGCTGCTCTGCCTTCATTCCTTTGGGAACTCCCATGAGCTCATGGGTCCTCCTACTCCTGAGGTTCTGAACCCCTTTGCAGCTGAGTTTCAGCTCCCCAGAGTTCATTTCAGCCAAGGGACTGAAGAGGACTGATGCTCCACTGGGTCCACAAGTGGGCAGTGCCCATGGGCTCCCTCTTCTCTGGCCCCTCCAGGCACAGTGGCTTGGCCAAGCTTACCCCAGCTCTGTCTCCAGCACTGCTTATGTGGCTTCCAGCCTGGATCTCAGCCTCAGCTTCCCCATCTGTAAATGGGCGTGACAACCAGCCAAGCTGGGTGGTAAGATGAGATCATCGCTGGCTGGAAGCAGCTGGGCAGGGCCCACCACAGAGCCAGCCAGGATGATGACCTTGGCCAGGGCCTCCAGACAGTGGACAGTTCAGTCTCACCTCCCCCGGATCAGTGAATCAGCCGGACCGTGGTGACTCACACCGAGGCTGGGCAATTCCCTCCTGGCCCTCGCTGCCATGCTGGGCAGCAAGGTGGACCTGGGCTGGGGGTTCTCTCATCTTGAGACGGGGTGCTGCAACTGCCGTCATGACCATCCCAGGCTGCTATGCCCAGCCCTCAGAGATCTGGCCTTCTCTGAGTTCCGAGCACTTCTGCCCTGCCCAGGGTCCCCCACCAAGCTGACCTCCCTCATCCCAGTCTTGCCTCCTGGGATGTGACTAAATTAGGAAGCGGGAGTCTGACTGCGCTGTCCACTTCCGTGTCCCACTGATCAGAGGACACCCCCCCCTTGAAGGTCATTTAGTCTGGTTCTGACTTGTACCCGCAAAGGGTCCAAGGTCCTTAGTCTCCCACTCTGCACCTATGGACAGAAGCCACGTGTGCTGTGGGGTCCCAGGGCCCTCAGAACTCTGCATGCAACCAACTCAGCATGTGCACAGTGGAGTTTTAAATCTGCCAGGTGGAAGATCACTGGGTTGTTTCCCTTAGACACCATCTCCTGATTTTGGTCCCAGCAGCAGGGTGCTCTGGGATCAGCCTCCTCCTAGGACAGAGCTGTGTGTCATCGCACCAGAGACTTCCCTTACAGTTTACACAACCAGCCCCCCTCACCCACCTCCTGGTGGATTTCTTTGGGGAAATCTGGCTGGTGTGTTTCAGGAACGCGTCTGGCAGGGAGCCTGGCGATAGCTGACTTGCCATCCACAGCCCCTGCAAGGCCAGCCTGAGGTATGCTGCTTGCAGTGCAGGATTATAAACTCAACCTACCTTGCCTCAAGCTCTGATCCTTGTTCTTCCTAGCTGTGTAGCAGCAGGCAAGTTCCTTACCTTCTCTGAACCTTGATGGTCTTGTATATAAAACAGGAATGGGAATAGTTGCCTCATTTTTACGTTTTTAAACATTTTATTAGTATAAATTTGCAGTATATGATTACGTTCATTGCGGGGGGTTGGTACATGTGCATAACACATCTTGATTCTTTTTACCTCTTGAGGTTAGGTTTTAATGTGAAGTGAGAGTGTGTTCATAGCATGCTTAGCGAGGATCTGACCAGAGGAAGCTCAGACTTAGAGCTGCTGTCAGACATAAAGACCCATAATGACCAGAGCTTTCCCCAGATGTGTACGCTCGGGAGCCCATGGCTCAGCATAGTGGTCCTCTTGTCTGGGGGGCTGCGCTACCCTCACCTCCTTCCCCTGCACTGAGTCCCAGGCCCGTAAATCCTCAGCGAGGGTGCCCGGGTGCTACTTGGTCCTTGGCCACCTGGGTGTGGCTGTGCCCTCTTTGTGGCATGCAGCAGAGTGTCCCGTTAGGGAGAGATGGGTCCTGCTGCCACCTGTGCCCAGTCTCCCACAGTGTGACCCGGGACCAGGCAGGATGTCTTCATAATGAGAGGGGGTGATTGGCCCGTTTGGGTGGGGGGCTCTAGGGTGAGGTGTCCACAAAGGTGGCCCTGATGTCCTTGAAGGTGAGATGACACCTCTCTGGTCCCCACCCACCTACTCACTCCTTCAGTCCTTCAATAGTCCCTCAGGGAGCTGCTGGGCAGAGGGACTAGGGTGACCTTGCTGTCCCCTTGTCCCTCCCAGCTCACCCCCAGGGAGGTGGTATCCTCTGTCTACTTAGCTGCACAGAGCAGCACCACACCTGTAATAGTGCCTGGTGCTCTAAGGCTCTGTCCCACGAATCTACCCACCAAATCCATTGCAAGGCCATTGTATAAAAGAAGATGCTGGTCTCAGAGGGGTGTTCATGGGCACAGGGCACAGAAGCCTCCAGGGAGCTGGGCCTGGGCATTCCTCACTAGCTGGGCCTGCCCTGCCTGTCCTGAGCTATAAAAGCTTGTTTATGGGCCCTGCCACCACCCATGGGGCCTGGCCAGGTTCCTCCTCAGGTTGGCCAAACTTCCTGGGAATCCCCCTGGGGAGTCCTGGGGCTTGGCAGAGGCAGTGTTGGGTGAGTGGCCATGGCCAGTCTGCTCTCCTCTGCCCTGTGACCTGGGCCTGTAGGGGCTGTCCCTGGGGCCATTCACCCTCACCTCTTCCTCCAGGCTGGGAATGGAGTGTGGGGTTAATGGGACACACAGGCTGGTGGCAGAAGTTGAGCAGGTGCCACCTCCATCGGCCATGGAGTCTGGGCCTCAGGATCTGGGTCACAGGTAGGGTGACAGCCCTGTCCTCAGGGAGCCTCCTGTTCTAATGGGGCAGCAGGACAAGATGCAGCCCCAGAGGTGTGTGAAAAAACACTGGGGATCTAGGGAGCTCAGCCAGGGATGGTCCTGGGGCAGGAAGGAAGCCAGGGACTACCTTGAGTGTCTCAAGCCCAAGTGAGATGCACTGGGCTGTGCTGGGTGAGGCAGGGGTCAGGAATAGGGTGTGCAGGCTATGGGTATGTAGGTAGAGGACCCTGGAGGGAGTCAGGGTGAGGAGCAGGCAGGGCTTGCTTCGTTTTGGAGGGGCAGCTGTGGTCCAGGGCTGTCCAGGGCATTTCTGTTGCTGACTCATCCCAGGAACCCACCTGAGGCCAGGTGGGTGCAGGGAAGGGGAACCCAGCCCCGCGGGACTCTGGCCACTTCAAGGGCCTCTGGCCACACTCACTGCCAAGGAGGGGGCCTAGGGCCACAGAATTCACCCTCTGAAGGAATCTCTGTGAAAGACAGCAGGAGGGACCCTCAGTCCTGCTGTCCTTGCCTTTAGGGAGGTCTCCAGGGGCAGGAGCCCGGACAAGAGAGGACACGAGAATGCTGCAGCGGGTGCCCTCTGGCCCTGTGGCCTAAGCAAGCCTGTCTCCTCTAGGCAGCTGAGGGTATGGTGCGGGCCTGGGGGTGAGAGTCTCCTGGAAATCTGCCTCCCTCCTCTCCACCTGCCTCCTCTCCACCTGGGGTGGGGGGTGGGGACAGGAGGTGCCAGGCGTACCAGGTTCTGGGGTCTGGCCTGGCTGGATCAGGTGGGGAAAGGGGGGGAAGGGGAGAGGAGGGAAAGGGAAGGGAGGAGGAAGAGAGGGAGGGAACCGGAGGGGAGAGGGGGAGGAGAATGGAAAGTGCATTCCAGAGGAGTGACGCTGATGTGAAGTGGGGAAGGTCCCTGGATTGGCTCCCCCAAGAGGGAGATGGGAAGGGTGGGGCAGGCTGGAGGGGAAGATTCCTGCCCTGGGGAGAGGGGCCTGGCCACTTTTAGCCTCCTCTGGAAGGTTCTTGTCAGATTCCTCTTGGCCCTGGATCAGTGTGTTCCGGGGGCAACTTAACCGGGCAGGGGCAGTGGCTGAGCTGGGCCTCTCTGCTCCTGCCCCGCACAGCTCAGCGTATACCTGCTGGAGCCCACACAGGGCCGGCCATGCCCTGGCTGCAGGCCTCTGAGGCCCTTGAGAGCCTCAGGGGTGGGAGGGAACAGGCTCGGAGGACAGTTCCCGGACACAGCTCCTTCAGCAGCATCACTGAGAGCACCTGTGAAGCAGCAGGTGGCTGCCTGGGCTGCATGAAGGTGGCTTTGTCTGCACAGCACCTGGGCAGAAGTGCTCAGCAGCCAGCTGGGGTCTTGGGCTCCAGAGAGGAGGCAGAATCGTGCGCGTGGCACGGACCCAGAGTGACAAGGAGGAGCCGGGGAAGGAGCAGCCAGTGTCTAGGAGCAGGGAGGACCAGCCACAGGTGCAGGATAAGCTGCAAGAGGCCTGCTGGCAGTCATCTTATCACTGTGAGTGAGTGCAAGAAGACCTCATGGGGAGGACATGACCCTTGACTGGGCCTCTCCACAAGCCCGATCTCTGGGCTTCCTCATGAGGGTCCTCCTTGTAGAAGCAGGCTAGGATGAGTTTCCATTTCCTGAAGCTGAAAGCAAAAGCTGAGACAGGAAAACTATTGCGTAGCAGGCTAGACCTTTTTTCTGTGTTTTACAGCTGTTTCTACCTTCTGGAGGGGAAGTTTCATGGTTGCTGAGTGAGTGCACTTAGGGCACTGCCATAGCTGGGGGTGGAAAGGGGCCGGCTCTGGCCACCGTGTGCAAAATGTCACCATCAGCCGACCGCATGTACCAGTTTGCCGTGTTGTGTCTTG